GATCAGAATTATAAATTACCTAATAAAATAAAGTATAGATTAATCATAATGTAACTATAAATAATATAATATATCGCATTGTATATTACACTGCTATATATTATTATGTAATATATTGCAGCTGCGGTAATGCTGTAATGTTGCAGTTTATACTTACATTTTAAGAAAGTTCAGAAGTCCAAGGATCCAAGAATGCCGTTCCTAAAAAAGGAAAAGGAGAGGAAAGAGGGAAAAAAGGAAAGAGGTAAAGAGGAAATACAAAAAAAAAAAACTAAACTGTATCGGCTCAGCGCAGTTGATCGTTTTAATTTCCGCATATGTAATTAAAAGATGATAGGTGCGGTATTTCATAATGCGCATATATCCCTGGCTGATTATTCTATATTTTACTATAAATACACTCCCTGTATAAATGCATACTTTTGTTTAATCCCAAGGGGGGATGCATTTATAGAGAGTTGACTGTATTCTCAGAATCCTGTTTCAAATTTTCAAATTGTTCTAAAATATACTGCAGAGGATTTTGTCTCCATCTTTGAAAAATAGCTTATAATTTTATAACATCAGGACATATTAATGAGTTTGCATCCTAGCAACTTTTCATTATTTTATGATAAGTCGGTGGGATATCTTGAGTAATTTCAGGTCGAAATCCTTTGCAAATTCTTATCATTAACAAACATATTATATGGATGTAATCTGGTTTCAAGTTCAAATATAATCATACCTAAATATTTAAAGATCGTATTTGAGTTCCTCTTCTTAAAACTTCAGAAACTAGATATGGCAATGTTTCAAATACCTCATTTGATTACAAATTAATATTATCACTTTTGCACAAGCTAAAATTACTAAGAAATGCCAAATTTCCACTCATTAATACATTTTCAAGATTTAAATGACAATGTGTTATTTCTAGTTTATGAATTATAGCAAGATCATTAATTATATAGTCAAGGATATTTATTTTTTCCAACCATGAAATTTTATTATTCTGCAAATAATTTCTTAAATTGTAATCAGCTGCATGTGAAGTTACAATACAATATTTTTTTGTCTTTGGATCCTGAGAAATAACATACAATCTAAGGAATC